CAGGATGTGAGTGGGCGTTAAGGCGTCTGGGAAGGGATCTCAAAACTGGATTATAGATGGCAGAGAGTTGGTGTCGTAAACCACCGCCTCTGTTCAAAGATGGTCGCTCACAGTGGACGTAAATGTCTTCTTTCACTGTCCTCTCTGTCCAAAATGTGAACGTTGGCTTTCGAGGATGCCAACGTTCATATGACGTGAATATGGCTGTGATAGGTGTGCTGATCACGGTGAGTCTTTAATTAGACACTGACAGAGGACAGAAACAGCTGACTGAGGCCAGAGCAACAAACTGTCAGCAGGAAATAGACGGGCCCCATCAGGAATCATCAGAAACAGGGTCACAGGCTGGTTTATAACCCTCAGCTAGCTGTCACTCTGCACCTTTGTCTTTTATATATGTCACAGCAGAAACTAGGAATCCACAGAAGGAGAAGAAGAAGAAAGCTCTGCAGCTGTGATTGGAGTGAACTAACCAACTTCAGATAGATTAAAAAACGACCCGGTGTGAGTTGCACTGAAACACTTCAGAGTTTACCTGTTTACCACACCATGCTCCTTCAGAGCATGGTGTGGTAAACCAAACAAAGAACAAGCTCCAGTGATCCAAATGAATTGTCCAAAACACAACACACACACACTGAAATCCCTGAACAGGGTCCCAAAACATAGTTCAGGAGGCCGGCCCAGAGGCTGACAACTCAGGAGTCTAGAACAGTTCATCTCCGGGGGCCGACCATGTGGAAGGCAGTGGCATCGACGTGGAAACATTTCAGGCGGCCGCCCATGCGGACGGCAACAGCGGCGACGGGGAAACAGTTCAGGCAGCTGACCGTGTGGAAGGTAGCGGCGGCGACGGGAGAAACATTTCAGGCGGCCACCCATGCGGACGGCAACAGCGGCAACAGGGAAACAGTTCAGGCAGCCGACCGTGTGGAAGGTAGCGGCGGCGTTCGGGAGGTCGTCCATAGTGGCGATGACGCCCAACAAGCAGCCTGGCAGATGACCGCCGACGTCGAGGCGGCAGGTTGGGACCCAAAGGCTGCGTGGCCCCCGCTGCACCAGGCAAGGCAGAGGCTGAAGTGGAAGCGGAGGCTGGCCCAGACGTGGCTGAAGCTGGACCAGACGTGGCCGAAGCTGGACCAGGCGACGGCGAAGCTGACTCGGAGGCAGGACCAGATGAGGACGAGTCAGCCTCGTCCTCAGGACCAGACGAGGACGAAGCTGACTCGGAGGCAGGACCAGACGAGGACGAAGCTGACTCGGAGGCAGGACCAGACGAGGACGAAGCTGACTCGGAGGCTGGACCAGGCGAGGATGAAGCCGGAGCTGAAGCTGGACCAGGTGACGGCGTGGGTGAAGCT